AAGTTCTGTGGTTGAAACTATCCCAGTAACCCTTTGGCTTCTCAGACAGAAAGGGTATACTTTCACTGTTATCTAGTAGTAGGATCCATAGCACTTGGTGAGTCATGCACAACATCTGATGGTAAAAATTTTAACTATCGCTTTAACAAAAAAAATCATATTTTTGTATATGTTTTGTGGGTATAGATCAAGGTTATGAAAGAGGCCAGAGGTGGTGTGAATCCAGGCCAGAACTAATAAATGGAGCTGGCCCAGTGCATTGGCCCGTTGTGCTAAAGGACACCGGCCCGGGTCCGTTTTACAGATCTGGGCCACATGATTTTTGCTAGGGACGGTAGTAAAACTTGTTACGCCCTGATGTGATGTCACTACGCTCTATGTAGCGCATGTGTATGGACAACAGTGTTCGCTTTCTTAAATTTAATGTGCCTGTCAAAGAGGCTAAGGAGAGATAACTGACTGAAGTCTTGCTTGACATCCGGATGCGTTGATGGGGTTGCGCACAACTGTTCAACACTTTATGTAGGCTACTTGAGTTTAACGTTACTTGGGCTTACCTTTGATCAAGTGTTCGTTGCAAATACGTGTATATTTGGACGGTTGACATTGTTTGCCCTCCCAGGAGAAAAAGTAACGTTATGTTTAATGGCACAAATCCAAATCTCCTCCTCTCGGGGTTTTCTTTATCGGACAGAATTCTATAGAAACACAGCCCTGGTTTGTGTCCTCTTAGATTTGTACATCCGTTTTCACGACAACAAAATAAATGTATCCCTTCTAGTTAGGGACCGTCTGCAGTGCACATACAATCCATTTTAAGTGAATAATTTTTGTTTTTCAACATAGAAATTTCAAACCACTGCTGATATAGACAGCGACCACCCTTAAAATTACACAGCAGCAGCTGCATAACACTGGTTTGAGATTTCTATGTTGAGAAACAAAAGTTATTACAATTAAAGTAGATCTTATTGCACTTTGCAGACGGCCCCTAACTGCGCGCGCTCCCACCGCAGGCCGCTTTTCGTTTTCGGAGATTTATTGGACTGCAACAGGTAAGTCGAGCCGTTTATATTTTCAGAAAAGAGGGAACGAAGTCCAGGTATAATGCTGTAGAAGCCAGCTGTTGTTGTCTTACTGCTGAAACTCCGCTGTGTGGTCCAGATGTTCTGGATCGGGGTTATTTATTTAAAGTGAAACCAAAGTTTGTCGAGTTCTCAAGCAAAGACTTCCAGATATTATAATGCTTTCTGAGGCAAAATACTGTTTAAAACGATATAACATTTATCGTCTGTGTCAGGTTATCAGATGCTAGATGATCTGAAATCTAGTTAACAGTTTAGAGACATCAGTGTTTTGTAAGAGCCAGTAGAAGGAGCGTTTCCTGAAATGTAGTCTAACGTTACAAGTTTCCTTGATTAACCTCGTTCCTGAAGGCGAAATTTTTTGCCCTTTCATGCCTGCATTTAAAGTTAGGCTAGCAACTCTAAAATCTTTTAAAATGTGTTTTTAAATTCGGATTAAACATCGGCTGTGAAATTCACTGTCGAGTCAAAGTCCATCAGATAAAGTTCCAGTGTAGGCCTACACACCAGATTCCTGTCACGAGGTCTTTCCCAGCAGTCAAGCCAGTCTGTTTTTCTGCTGTTTTATTTCAAATTAAAAGTGAGCTTCTGCTGAACACAATGGGCCTTTCCGGAACTGCTTGCTACTCCGCCCCATTGAGTGCCATCCCAAACCAATGAGGGCAGACAGGTAGTGGGTTGTTAAACCCTCTGATGCGGAGTCAGCACCGATTCTAGCTTGTTGAAGGTGTGTAACACCCTTTGCTGCAAGATGGGGGACCTTTCTTTCAATTTGCGTTCCCGTGACTTTGCCGGTTAACATGTAGGATTTTTAACTTCCTAAACTACACTAACATTTCATATCACCATTCACAGGTCGGAAACGTAGCCCAAAGGTTAAATTGTGTTAATAAAAAAAATGATCTCGACTGATAGACAATACAAAGGTTGTTTTATTGAACCGTATTCATACACAGGAGATTAGGCTACATAACAAGCAACAAAGGCATTAAAGAAAAATAGTTGGCCTAAGTCTTTATTATTTAATTCTCCAGACTATAGCCTATAATGCTTCATATAATGTATGATTTATATTGAAATGGTGTATTTGTGAGTGTAACATTTTTCATACAGGCTAAGTTAAAGAGGTTCAAAAATGGTCTTGTCTTTACACTGAATATCAATCTTTTCATAAAAGATAATATTTATTTTTGTAAATATCTAAAGTCATGTTCTTAAAGAAATATTCACACAAACACAAAATGAATGACAAATGCTTTCAGTTTCGTTATTGCAAAAAACACACTTTTCCTCAACATCAATATCCTGAATCTTAATACCACTGTTGTTTATTTGATACACATGTTATAGCAGCGAGTGCAGCTGTAACGTCACATCCTATTTACGCTGGGGAGAGAGTTGTCCGCTATATTTAAACCGTACGCGGGTTAGGGAGCTCGATTTGGCTGTGAGGGTGACTCTGACCAGAGTTCACTCCATGTCGGAGTGGAAGTGGCGAGGGTCTAGTTTCGGAAAGGCCCAATGTAATCGGTGTGGCCGAAATGATTGAATTAATGATAATGAAAGAAATGCTTAAGACAACACAAGTATCTAAAGAATACAATTTTCACAGAATGCTTACGAAATTCAGACCGATGTTTGGAGAAAATCTTCTGTTTCCATTTAATCATTTCACTTCACAGTGATAGCAGACCACATCAGAATATCCCTCAGTGAAGACCAGAGCTATTTGATGGAGGTTTTAAAACTTACAGCCCTTAATAATGTCTATTTCTGCACAATTCAGATTGGCGTTAAAATCAAAAATTTTTTTTATCTGAATTTAACCAGTTTTAGATGGATGTGAAAAGAAAACCTCTTGTTTTCACTGACTTATTTCACTTCACAGTAATAGCAGACCACCTCAGTGTCCCTCTGTCACTGTGGACAGAGCTGCACCTACACCTAACTTAGCCAGACTCATTCCACAATTCACTACACAAATGCCCATTATACTGCTACTGATACTGCCAAAATTTTCTTGTAAATTTACGACTTTATTCTCGGAAATGTAGAGTTTTTCTCAGAATATTACCCCCTCCTGCAGCTCCGTGTTTGTTTTATCTACATTGTCCCAAATAGCCTACACCAGCCCTATCCAGTTGGTGGCCCGTGGGCCACATCCGGCCCAGAGGCAATCTCCATGTGGCCTAGCATCCATCTTATATATGACAACATAAGTAAACTAGTGGGAGTAGCTAACGATAGCTAACGATAGCATGTGAAACTCACATGCTGTGTAAGGCTGCAAATAATGATTATTTTTGTAGTTCACTAATCTGTTAATCATTTATTCGATTAGTCGACTAGTCACGATTATTTCATTATGTCACCCCTAATTAAACCATTGAACTAATATCTTTCAAGGGAATTACTGATCTTCAACACACAGCCGAACTAGCTAATGTTACCATTATGTGAACAAGGTTTACTATTTAGAATGATAACAGTATCAACACCAGGGGAAAACAGTGAAGAAGACAAGAGCATAGGATACTATAATTCACTGATTTACTGTTGCTCTTAACGTGTTTGCTAGCAACTAAAGGAGCGTTCTCTTAGCCAGCATCATCCATGAGACCTCAAAACCAAGAATGCAAAGAACTGTGAAGAGGCTGCTCAAAGATAACAGCCAGGTTTTATAACCCAAAACAATAAACTCATAATCTGATTTATTGCCAAGTAGGTTTTAACTTTAACTTTTAACTTTATAACAAAGATTTAAAATCAAGTACTAAAACCACAACTGTACACTAACAATTTAAGGTCCATTTAGAATAAAGCAACAGTCCCTTTTCATACTCTTTCTGTAATTTATTTTTCTAATGTGCTTGTAAGTTTTATAAGTGGAGAATGTTCTGTAGGCTACATCACGAGCCAGATGTTCCTTGCTTTACTTTAAAATGACCATTAATGTACTGAGATTGTAACGACAGAATAGCAGCGGTACGATCATTGAAACTATCTTATAGTTGTGGCCTTTCCTCTGTTGTTGCTGCTGCAGTGGCTGAGTAACTGGGACCAGAGGGCTCTGTGGGTGTGACTGGCCGGCCGGCTGGCACGACTAACCTCACGAGCGCTTGTGTAGCTTCTCAACCCCGAAACATTTGAGCACACTTTTGATTCGCCATCAACTTTTGTAAAACTTCCAATATTCAAGTTCTTCACAGTTGATTTCTCACCTCAAATCTCTCAAAAGTGTATTTAGTGACGAAATAGCATACAAAAAAACGTTCTGCTGTTAGCCTCTTTCTCTGTTGGTTTCCGCTTCTCACATGAATGCTTCTTCTTCGTGAGTAGTCTTACAGTCAAGCAGTCATGGCAGAAGCGATACTGCCCCCAGCACTTCCTGTAGTGCATTGCAGCTAGAAATGAACAACCAGAAATGTTCTTAATCAGAAAATTGCTATCTCTGCCTTAAACAGCATCTTTGTAAAGACGCGTCAACAATGAAATTTCATGTTGACGTATTTATAATCGACGTCGTCGATTACGTCGACCAATCGTTGCCCTAATGCGCTATACCAAAAACCGCCGATCCAGGGCTCAACAATAAGGACTGCCTGTGTTGGACCGTGACTTTAAATGACCCTTTTTAAACTATGTGTAGTCCTTGGTCCTGCGTGTTCTTTCATGAAGCAATAGGAGAAGATGTTTTTGGTCCAAGTTAATCAGTTTTATTACAAGTAAATGAGTAAAGCTTACAGAGCTCTGGGTCGATCTTCCTTTCTCTGACAAACAACAAGCTGTCAGCTGCACCTCTCCAAAAAACACACACATCAGGTCTAGTTTAATAAATGATAAATCAACAACTACATCACAGGTCAATATAAGAAAACACAATAACTTTGGTTACCCTGAGTAATACAAAAATCATACTATCAGAATCTCTCACCTGACAGGGGCGAGGCTCAGACCCTTAGGGGTGCTCAGCCCCTAATGAGAATGGAACCTGGTGGTGCTGAAACGATTTATCAATTAAATCGATTAATAAAAACAACATGCAAGAAAACAGCAACTCTAATGTTACCGTCCGTCCACCGTAAAAATGTCGCCTCGGCAACAGCACGACGGCACCCGATCAGAAAGCACCCGTGTTCTGCCAGCGGACCACAGACAAGGTAACAGCAACTTTAGCATTTAACTGAAATCATGATTGATTGTTGAAGCCAAAGTAAGCCGCAGACCTCAGCTGAAAATGTCAGTTCTTTGTTGTTCTTTTTTGGGCTGCGAGTTGGAATCTCACAGTCAAGAATTAACAGGGGGGCGGTGAGCTGCACCTTTTCACTCACTTCCAGCTCTCTCTGTAGCTCAGACGTTTCCTGCTACCTGCGTGTACTAATCCATCCTTCACCAAGATTCTTTGTCTTTATAATTGCCATCTTTATAATAACAAACAACAGCTGTTTCGTGTGCAGGATCGCTCATTTCTCATTTCACGTGTGTTTTCTTGACAAAACGTGGTTTGGAGACCAGAGTCAGGTGACACAGCCGCTGTCAGCTCGTGTAGTGTGTAACCCCCTGTCATGATCAGTCACGTAGTGTGAATTGAAAAGACCAATAAATATCTATCACCTATAAAGGTGCACAGGGTTGATCCCGTTACCGGAGGGGGGGCTCCGCCAAGCAAAAGTACTTCTTAAACAACGCATCGATGAATTATTGAAATAATCTACAGAAGCTTTGAATAGTAAAATCATCGTTAGCTGCAGCCCTAGTAGCATGCATACAATGCCTTGCAAACATGTTCACTAATTGGTGCTGAGTATAAGTAGGTCTACTAGAGAGGAGCTGGTGCAGAGCGGAGCGGGTCAGTCAAGGGCGTCACTTTGTGTTGAAAAGCGGAACGGACATAAGGGCTCAGATGAGGGCTGTGATGGTACATTTGAGTAATGAGACGTGATGCTGCAAAAGATTTTTAACACTATTTA